AAGGTCCCACTGGAACTTGGTGAAATGGAACTTGAGCCTGGCATAGGGGTGTATCTTGTTCAAAGGAGAGCTAATAGAAAGGAATAGGAAAAGGGCCTATCTGTCTGCAGTGATGTGGAGATCCTACAAGACACTCCAATGCATTTGGCCTGGCTGTTGCAGGCCAGGGCAGGTGTGCGGGTGCAGGTGTGCATACTGCAAACAGCTAGGCAGATGTGAGATGCAGGGAATTTTCCTATTTCAGATTACAAAGCTGGAACAGAGGTGAGACAGACCACTGATGAGGGCTTCAACTATCCTAGCACCTACCAGAAAGCTCATTACCTAAAACAAAGCAGCTGACAAATGGGCTGGACTTGAGGACCGCACATTCTTTTAAATGTAGAGAAAAGATGGGTAGGCACTTACGGCCTGTGACCCTAAAATGGGAGAAACTCAAGAGGGAATAGTTGGCTCTGCAGGACGAAATGAATCGTGACTAATCCCAGAGAAGTGGTAACAGGGACGGATCTAAAGGAGCTATTGTGTTTCTCATGACATGTTCTGTTTAGAAAAGGACGTGTACAAAGATAGAAGGAAGGGCATGGTACCAAGGACAAGCTGAGAAGAGTGACACATTTCTGTGAGAACTGTGCCCGACTTGAGCTGAGGCTTACAAAAAATTGCTAAAGTTGGCAAGAAAAAAAAAAAAAAAACGGTGGTGGTAATTATTTTTAGTTATGATTAAAAAAGGCATGAGGCCCATTGCTTAGGGATCATGATAGCATGTTAACAGAAGACAGAGAAAGTAAGATGGCTCAAGTCTCGTTTCATGTCTAACCTCTCCATAAAAGCAAAATGGCTTTATAACCAGAAAGCTTGAAATCAGCATCATTAAAAGAGCCCTGGGCGGCTGGGCGCAGTGGCTCATGCCTGTAATCCTAGCACTCTGGGAGGCCTAGGTGGGCGGATCGTGAGCTCAAGAGATCAAGACCATCCTGGCCAACATGGTGAAACCCCGTCCCTACTGAAAAAAAAAAAAAAAAAAATTAGCTGGGCATGGTGGCAGGCGCCTGTAGTTCCAGCTACTCAGGAGGCTGAGGCAGGAGAACCGCTTGAACCTGGGAGGTGGAGGTGGCAGTGGGCCAAGATTGCGCCACTGCACTCCAGCCTGGTGAGAGCGAGACTCTGTCTCAAAAAAACAAACAAAACAAAACAAAACAAAACAAAAAGAGCCCTAGGCACTAAGGGCAGGGGCTGTGGTATGGCAATAAGAGTGGGTCCTCTCGGGCTCTTTCATCCAAATCTCCAGGCCCTGCAGGCTCACATCCCATGGCCCTGCACATACCTCCAGAGAGGCAGAGCTAACATACTTAATCCCTGGGAAACCACTGGAGACCAGGAGAGTTCCAAAAGATGCTTGTTAGCAAATGTCCCAATTTACCCAAGAGGGAAAGATACAGGTCCTCCTGTATGGGCTGCTAAGCCAGGCAAAAGTTTAGGCCATACAATAGTTTTTTAAGCCCTTCAAAAAGGAAGAGATGGGTTTTGAGAGCTGGCATGGGTTTGAGAGGAATAAGCTAGGCCAATGACTTGACTGGCTTTCTCGCTTATAGGCTGCCTAAGGGGGCAGACTGGGGAAGGCCACAGTGTATCTTGAAGCCTACATACATCTTTATCTACTTAGACCCTTGACAACACAGGTGGCATGGTCACTGGGCTCAGGGATGCCTGAGAGTAGGCTTCGGCCATTCTGAGCCCCTTATAGTCTTGAGCCCAGCACATTCTCTGAAGCCACCATGCCACCGCCACATAGTGTTCCCATGCAGAGTCACCTTCCTTACACCCTTTGTCTGGCTGTCTGTTCTTCAAGACTCCGCTCAAACAGCACCTCCCCTTGGAAACTTCCTCTTCTGCTGAGTACGATTTGGAAGTTCCTTATCCACGCTGGCCAAGCACCCTGTAAACTCGGCTGTCACTATCGCAGTGTGCTTTCCCTGGGCTGCAACTGACAGTTTCCTTATCTGCCTCTCCCAATGCCTGCAAGCACCCAAACGGGATTGTATTTCCAAAGCCCAGCACAGTGCCAGGCACAGAGGGGACCCTCAAGCCATGATGATTGCTTGCATGAGTTTTGCTTAGAGGCTCAAAGTCAACCTGAAAGAGGTTATCTCTAATTGTGTTCTGTGTGTTTCTCCAAGTCTAGACTTTTATCAGTGACTTGGAAGAATAATATACTTTCAGAGACCATAACGTTGGGAGAAAAGGGTAAGTAGATGAGAGGCTCAAAGTTCAAGGTCTGATAATCTACAGACTGGTCATACAGCCTGAAAACATAGCTAACTTTTTTGTACAGGTTTATTATCTTGATTTTCCTGTGGTATGATAAAGGCATAGCTTTGTTTTTATTTTGTTCTTAGTTGAATACCAGAGACAGATCATCTGAGGCAATGCATCACAGATGAATATGTAGGTATTGATGAAAATACTGCATTAATGTACCATAGTCACTGCAATTTTGCACGGTGCTTGGCCTTATGCATTACTAATGAAGGACAATACATGAATATCTCATGTAATGTCACTGACCATATTATATATTATAATGTAATAATTCATTTATTATACATGTTCATCTATGTTTCTGAACTTTATGGACATGGCATTAAAAGATAAATGATAACCAACAATGAAATTTTAATAGAAGTAATCGTTCTTCTTTGAGAATAAAAAAAGTAATAAAGTTTTATATTAGGTCTCAAAAAAGGTCAACTAGATATCTACAGTATGAGGAATATCTGGCTTTATCCATCCATCTATCCATCCATCCTGAGCGCTATATGCTAAATACTAAACTAGGACCTACAAATTAAATGAAAAATAAACACTGCCTCCCCTGAGCTTATATCCTACTGGAGGGAAATGAACCTAAGCAAGTAAACTAAATAACTGCAACTGCCAATGAGGGCCATAAGTAAAATAAAATAATACGTAATGGAGACAGAAGAGACTTTGGGATAAAGGGGTATGTAGACGTGTCTCCAGGGTTGCAGGAAGTTTATGTAAGGAAGAGCTGGGTGGCACTTGGCTGGCCGTCAGCTAGAAGTGAGTCAAGGATGTGCTGCAACTGTTAAAAAGTAACTGCAAGGCTGGGTCACATTAATAGAGGCAGAGTGGTGAGCAAAATCAAGAGCAGTGACAATCCTACTGCCTCTGTGGTGGTCGCACTGCTTCTAGACCACCTTCTGCAGCTGTACATGCTATACTTTTTTTTTCTTTAATTGAGACAAAGTCTCGCTCAATCGCCCAGGAAGGAGTGCAGTGGTGCCATCTCGGCTCACTGCAAGCTCCGCCTCAGTGGTTCAAGCGATTCTCCTGCTTCAGCCTCCTGAGTAGCTGCGACTATAGGTGCGTGCCACCACGCTCAGCTCATTTTTTTGTATTTTTATAGAGACAGGGTTTCACCATGTTGGCCAGGATGGTCTCGAACTCCAGACCTTGTGATTCTCCCCGCCTCGGCCTCCCAAAGTGCTGGGATTACAGGTGTGAGCCACCGCGCCTGTGGCGCGATCCCTGGCTCATGGCAACTCTGCCTCCCGAGTAGCTGGGATTACAGGCATGTGCTGCCAAATGCTATACTTTAAGAAAGTCATTGAGCAGATCCAGAAGAGGAGTCTAGAAACCACATCTTATGAGGCAAGGTTGAGAGAATTAGGGAAGCTTAGTTTGCAGAAGGAGCCACCAGGCAGTCATCTTTAACATATCTGATGATTCAAGGTGCTTAGAGAAGAACGAGTGTATTCTGTGTTATCCTAGGAATTCAAATCTGAACAACTGAGAAGCAGCATAGCATAATTTAAAACAGGAGAGACACTTCTAATAGAATTCCAGCTGTGCAGAAATGGAATGAGCTTTTGAAGAAGTGGGCACCCCATCCTCAGAAGTATTCAAACAGGTATTGGATAAACAGCTGTTTAAAAGACGTCCTTAAGGATACTTCTTTGGGAATAGAGTAGACCTGTGTTTATTTGGAAGATTTTCTCATCTTGGAATGACAAATCATCTTTAAAATATTTGAGCCACAAGCAACAATAATGCTAAGTACTTTGGATCCTTCCTTCCTCCTAAGAGTTTCTCCTTCTTTGGAAGAGTGGTCTCTTGAAGATAAAAGGAACTGATCCATCTTAAATTTTTTTTTTAATTTTCATGATTTTAAGTTTGAATGCATCATTCATCTTTAGTCATGGGCTTCTCCTGTCACTGGGGCAGAGGCTGTCTTGCTGGGAGGCCTAAGCCTGAGCAGGAAGATATGGACCTCCTGCCTTCCTGCCCTCAGTAACAGTGAGCTGATGGAGGGTGGGAATCCCTAAAGGCATATGCTGTGTGGTTAGAAGAAGTGACCTCCACTCACAAGGATTTCTGAGACCCAACATATGGGGATCAGGAACCATGTCAAGGCTAGTTCAGCATGTAACTAGAAACAATGGTGCAATGCTTCTGCTCATCTTCCCTGCATTTGTGTGTGTGTGTGTGTGTATCTGCATGTGTGTAAGTAAAGCTCTCAATTTGCCACCTTACAGTATCAGGTGACCCACACCTGAAGTCTTGGGTCAAAGGCTCAGTTGTATCTAGGAGTTCTGGAGAACTTTCTCATAAGGCATAAGGCCTCTCCCTTTCTCTGGAATGTGGATTTATCACAGGCAGACAGGTGTTTCACCTTCTGTTCCAATGCCCTTTTAAGGCTATGTCTGCACAAAAAGACTTTACTGAACTCTACAGTGTATACAGCCACTTTACTCAGTGTAATCATTTTATGATTAGGATTTGATAGTGTATCAATTCTGTCTCTACCTGTATTTGGAATGGAAACTAAATCAAAACCCATTAAGATTAAGGTTTAAGGCAGTGGTAGACTTGAATCCCAGACCAACATGTTTTTCATCTATTTGCTTTGTGAAGAAAACACGTTTTTCAAAGTCCAGCGGAGAACATGGGATATAAGTTCAGTGAAACTCCCATACCTGAGCCACAGACAACAAACACAAACAGTGCCAACAGCCATGGTCCCACAGGATATTTCTCCTCTTGCGGCCTCTAAAAGGGAATGGGAAAAAGTAAGATTAGGTTCATTGACTCAAGAAACATTTATCTGAGTATCACTAGGCATTGTGCTAGGTGCTAGGGATTCTACTGTGAATGAGACAGACTTGATTTCAATCCCTCAGTGGACAGATATAGATGGATGAAGTCCATTAAAAGGATGGAGATAGGTTTGCAAAAATTCATCAATAACCTTATTAATTTCCCTGTAACTCAGTGAACTGTAACTGGGGACAGATATGGTATGAACATATAAACCAATATGGTGATTTAGGAACCAAAATGATATTAATAATAACTTTGCATCTGCTGAAGGTATGCTCTGTGCCAGGCACTATACCAGGCAGTCTGCATTCATTATTTCTGGCAAGTATTATTATTTCCATTCTGGAGTTGAGAAACTGAGGTTCAAAGTTTGTTAACTTGAGCGAGAGCTGGGATTCAAATTTAGGTCTGCCTCATTACAAAGCCTGGGTGTTTTCCATGAATAGATTCGATATTTAGTTTCTGCATCTGTGAATTCCAAGCAGGATCAGAGATCACAGACATTTTCTCAAAACCTTTTACACACCCCCAAATTAGGAAGTCAGTACAGTGGAAATCCTTGGAACAATAGAAGCACCACAGCAATTGTGAATGGTTATGAGTGAAGCAGTATTTTGTAATAAAACTCCTAAGCCTTAATAAAGCTTGCAATTGGGATAGGTCTCTGAATTCTCTGGGAAGCAGAAGGTGACTGTCAAAACTGCATGAATGAAGCCCTACAGACCTCCTGCTTTTTTCAAACCAAAAGCACAGACAAAACACCTCCAGGTCTATGTGCAGGTGGGGCTTGGTCCTTAAACCCAAATCAATCAGAACAACAAATATTTTCTGACAGATGCATCAGAAAAGAAGTAAACTTCTCAAATAGGAGACTGAAAAAAAAAAAAAAAAACCCAAATAACTCACTAATTATTTTCTGATTAGCTTGAAAAATAGGCTGCATTCAATACACATTAAAGAATTCACATGCAAAACACACAAAGAAAAACATGTTGGTAGAGTGGAATGTTCACAAGTATTGATTTGTGGTTGATATCATAAAACCCAATTCCAGATTTCAATTAAATGTTGTTGACATTTAAACATTATATTCAACATTGTAAAATATGGGCTAAAAAGTATGTTCATATCCATACAAATATGACAGCTTGACATTCAGACTGAAGGTATGTAATAGTGTTTCAAAAAAAAAAAATGAGTGGTGCTATCATCAAGGATGTAAGTTTTTGAAATGTTGAACAAGTTTTAGTAATGTTTCTAACAAAAACTTCTTTAAAAAAGGATAATCTTTCTCTGATTTTCATTGCAGTTGCTTTCCTAGAAAATTTATCATATATTAAAACTGCAAAATCTATGATGTGTTGTATTTAGATATAAAATTAAGTTCTAGGCTAATGTAAATATAAACTGGCTTCTCATCTAAAAAAGGAATTTATTTTATCATAGATAAAGGCAACAGTTCTTTAGTTTTCAGCTTACCAAAGAGCCCTTCTATTTTACCTCACTTGGGTCTACTTGTCCCTTGTATGGCCATATACTTTTTCTTGATAACATGTGCCACAGTTTGTAGGTCTATATTTATTCCTGTGATAGTGTGTTTAATATCTGTCTCTCTATGAGACTGTAGACCCCACAAGGGCAGGGACTATGTCTTGTTCATGTAGTAATGTACAGAAATGCCTGGCACAGAAGTTAAACATAGGAGATAATAAACATTCATTGAAGAACAAATAAACATACAAGTTTCATTAAATAAGATTTCTTAGGTTAGGCAGAGTAAACACAGGTTCTAGGAAGGATATTGTCTTTTTAGTAATACTTCCTAATTGGTGTAGGATTATCCCTGTATCTCTCCTACACAAGAAATACGGATTAAAGTGTCAACTGCAGGTAGACTGTGACTAAGGATTAAGACATTCACTTCTCTGTTCTTGACTAAGCCTGTATCTACCACCACTTACATGCCGGCAAGTCACACTGCAAAGGAATCGGTGGCTGCTCTTAATCAGATGAGGACAAAATCAGTCTTAAATAATTGCGTAAGGTAACTGTGCCATTTTTTGGCCCTTAAGGCCAGGCCAAGATCAGATCCGGTAAACAACATTCATAAAGCTACCTGAACAAAGTGTGACATTCGCCCTTCCCACCCTCTTCCACCACCTACCTAGGAACTTGTCACAGTTGTCCAGAAACCTGTTCTGTTGCTGTTGTGCCACTAATGCTATATAAAAAGATTCATTTTATCTCTATTTCCAGCAAAGCTAATAAGTGAATTCAGGAGCCTGTAATGAATTATTTGCCCGGGACAGATACCAAACAGAGTCCTTTATTTTTCATATGCAGAAAAAACAGATGATTAGCATGTATAGCTTGGAGCATATAACACAAAAACCTTTTGGATGACATTCTCCAGGGAATCAACATTATTTGGGGACTTTGGCTGATCAGAGTACCTATATATCTTTTTTTGACGGCTTTGGGTGACCGCTTTTTAGAAGGGGTACCCAGCACAATCCCATTGGGACAATTCACATAAACCTGACTCTATGGCTGGAAAAGGTATGGAAAACTAGTAGCAGTTCTGCAAATGACATGGTTTATTCTAAACATGAGTTTGCTACTTCTTGAGGCTCCAAAAATGTCAGGGAATGGCTTTCCCTGTGATTAAGATACCAGTAGGGTAACTCAGAACTCTGAAATTTAAATTCTCCATTCATTCTGGAGAAGTTACTACTGTATAATCACAAAATGATTATTCCAATTCTCTGTTTCTTTCTTTCTTTCTTTCTTTTTTTTTTTTTTAGACGGAGTCTTGCCCTGTCACCCAGGCTGGAGTACAGTGGCACGATCTCGGCTAACTGCAACCTCTGCCTCCCGGGTTCAAGCGATTCTCATGCCTCAGTCTCCCGAGTAGCTGGGATTACAGGCACCTGCTACCATGCCTGGCTAATTTTTGTATTTTTAGTAGGGATGGGGTTGCACCATGTCGGCCAGGCTGGTTTCAAACTCCTGACCTCAGGTGATCTGTCCGCCTCGGCCTCCCAAAGTGCTGGGATTACAAGCATGAGCCATCGTGCCCGGCCTTGTTTCTTGGATTAGTCTGCTATCTGGTAGAATAATATTAATTTATCCGTAAGCTATTAGCTAATAATAAAATACTGAAGCATCTGCATACAATTAAAGAAGTTTATTTCTGAATAATTAGTCTGAATTTTCAGTTGGAATCTATACATATGTTCCCGTTTAATGAATTTCATCCTGAATAGTGATCTTTTGCAAGTTACTTTTAACAAAGTATAATCATATTTGACTTGTAATTAAGAAAATGAGATTTAGGATTTGTCAAGTTTCTCTTTGAAAGAAAATTTCATTTTTCTATTGGATAATAATCTATTTACAATAAAGTTAACCAAAATCCCCCCAACCAATGCAAAGCAAACATTGATGCGACTTGGTCTGGAAACCTTTCATTACAAATTTAGCCAGGTCATTTAAAAACTCTTATAGGTGCAAGGCACTATGAGAGTTTCTTGGCAGCCATGCCATGACATATTAGAGCATATTAAAATGAACTCACACTGAACATTAAATATAATTTAAATGTAGCTCTGAACATTGAGTTGAATGGCAGGTGACTGGTACCTTTTCCAGGTATTTAAACAGTGTTTTCCCAATTTTTCCATTTTCTTCTTTTATTTTGGAGCCAATAATTTTTGTTTGGGTCCCAAACGTTTTCTAGTCTTTTGGAAGAACTTGAGGTGGCAGACACTGAGTCTATAGAACCTAATGGATAAAACAGCCTTAGAAATTAGTTCTTGTTTTCTTCTTATTTTTATAATCAGATAAGCTGTCAACTGAGATCTGACAACTGAACTCTGTTTTTTTAGTTCATGAAAAAGAGCCACATGACTAGTTATTTTTCACCGTGTCAGTTAGCAGGTCTGATCCCTTGAGAAGGAAGAATTGATCTTTTAGGGATATAAAACCCTGCATGCCTTAACATCAATTATAAGTTGCTTCTCAATGTCAACCTGGGCAGCCATTTTTTTTCCTCAGTAAAAATAGGGGAAACATAAATCAATGTAACAAAATGGTTCCAATTTGATGGCATCTTGACATTTGCTGCCCTAATCACAACTAAGTGATCTAATTCCTAAATGAGAGAATTTTAAGGATTACTTAGGTCTAGAGTTGTGTATAAAGCTCTAAGTAGAGTTGAGTTTGATCCTAGAGTTTCTCTACCATAATACTGCTTGGTTTTGCAAGAATTCTGGCGTGGTGATTACAGATCTAGCTTTTTGCTTAGTTAATCAAACCAGTATAGTTTCTTCGGCTAAAAGGAATTGATTCATCAAATCTGCAAGCTTTCCCAGCCAAACTCCAAGCTTCAGCTGGATTTCCACTTAACTGTATGGGGTAACAGATCCCAGGTGCCTTTGCTCATATACCTGGAGACCAACTTCGCCAAACTACCCATGCGACTCATGCCTCTGAATGTCCAAAGTCACAGGCCTTGCATTTTCTGTTGAAGATAATCTGCTTTGCTAAAGAAACTCCTGAGTGTAACGCACAGGTTTTACTTAAAAGTCCAGTTACAAACCTTCAATTTACAGTTCTAGGGACACCGAACGCCTGACAATAAACTGGTCTCTAAAGTTATACCATCAGAATGAGTCTGAATTCACCGAGTGGAAGGAATAGTAATGCTGCCCTTAGACTTTAGCCTAGGGGCTGAGGGAGGTTTCACTGGAAGAGAGGTAAAAGAGAAAAAGGAGGCTGGAGAGAATATGGGTCCAAATCTCACTCCCCATTTTGAGCCCTTTCAATATCTTCATGGAAACCCTAACAAAGGGTCTGGAAAGAAACCTGATCCTGGTGCAAGTCTGTTGGGGAGGGAAAGCAGGAGTGGAGTCTGGGAGGAGGAGATGAAAAGTGGCCTCCATTTAACCATTGATTCATTCATTCAGTCATTCAACAAACGGTCGAGAACATACTAGGTTCCAGGCTCTGTGTCACGCAGTTGACTTAACTGGCCCCTAAGGATGAAGCTTTCCATCTTTCCCTGGGACAAGGCTCAGCTGTCTCCTGGCGGGGAGGAGGGCTCCTCTGCACCTCCCTGGTAGCCAGGCGGCCACTCCCAGAGGGGCCACGACCAACCAGGGCCCTCTCCGCCCACGAGGACGCCAAGCGGACCGCGCCGCCCTGATCCCAGCTCTCAGCCCACACTCTGCAGGACCCCGCAGAAGGGGCGGGCCAGGAGCAGAGAGGCCGGACCCTGCGCCGCTACCCGCCCGGCCCCGCCCCCACCCCGCCCGGCTGCCCGGCTCGGCCCGGCGGGCGCCGACCCCGCCTTACCAGGGTTTTGGCTACGTTCCCCCTCTGGGTGATGTTTTTGCTGTGCTTCTCGTTAGCCATCCGGATCCGCTGTTTGGCCACCATGGCTTGGGCGCTCTGAAATGCTCCCACCTACAAGGATCCCCCACGTTAGCTCCTGCGACAGGGCCGAGCGCGTCCCGCCGAGGCCCCCGCGGCCCACCCGGGCGCTGCAGGTGGCAAGGCGCGGCCCGGAGCCACGCGCACCCCGCTCCCCGAGCCCCGGCAAGCCGGCTCCAGAGAGAGGCCGCAGCCCGGACGGAAGTAATCTCTCATCTCAGGAAACCCTCTCCGACTTCCTCGCCATCCTTCCGGTCCCCGCAACTACCTACCCCGCGCGGCCACCGAGGCAGGCGCGGCCGCGCGTCCTCCCGCGCCGACGGGCCGGAGCGCAGCGCGCAGATCTGGGGCCCTGCAGTGTCGCGGTCCTGCAGCCGAACGCTGCGGGGCCGAAGGTTCGGGCGACCAAGGCGTTTGTGAGCGCGTAGGGGACAGGGGCGCGGCCCCTCCTGAGTTTGTCGGCGGGGGACCCACCCCAGGCCCGGGGAAGGGATGGGAGCGGCCGCACTTCAGGCCAGGCCGCGCGGTCTCCCCTGCACCGCCGCCCCCTGGACGAGGGCTGGACTCAAGGCGGTGGTCAGGGACTTCAGAACACAAGTAGAACCAGGCCAGGGCAGGGCCCGCGCTGCCCGGGTATGGCCCACCAAACGAACTTTCTCTTTAAGGGTCTGGGGAAGGGCCCCGCTCTGGGGGACCTCACTGCAGAACTTTTCGTGAGGGCTGCAAGGAGGGCTGCTTTGTAAAATAGAGGAGACATGAAGCGGGATCCTCAGAGGGTTGGAGATGGCGCCGTGAGGATGGAGTTGGGACAGCTCTTTTTGCCTTGGTGGTTGTAGGGGTTACATTGGAAGATGGGCCAGCGGCAGAGCGGAGCATGCAGGAAAGAGGAAAAGGCCTTGGACCTGCAGTGCAGGTCGGATTTGGTGGTTACTGTCTAAATCTGAAGCTTTGGCCTGCCTTGACTCCCCACCCACCCAGGGCAGCTTGGACCTCTCTCTAGCTACCCTTGTCCCGAGGGGTCTGAGTGTCTCCCAGAATAAACCGGGCATTTTCTGCAGTGGAAGGATAAAAATGGAAGCGTTTACGCGCCTCCCAGACACTGGTATTAGGGCCCAAGAGCTCTTCAGGTTGCCTAGGGAGGCAGGGGTGGAAGGGGTTCAGTTCCTCACTTTTCCATATGCTGAACACATTGGAGTTAGCTCTTCGAAGCTCAGAATAGTGGAGGAGAAGAGGAGACATTCAGCCTGGGCGATCCGGGGCAGTGGAAAGTGGGGATACAGGGTCGGGGTGAAGGCAAGCAGCAGCACCCCCAGCATGGGGAAGAAGAGCTGTGGCCTGAGGCTGGCTCTGGCCGCTGCATCTCTAGGCCTTCTCTTGCAGCGGGTGGGTGGCTGGATTTCCAGGGAATTTTGTATGAGTAAAATTTTCCCATGTCATTGGAGAGTTAGGGAGAGCTCCTCTCTTTTGGGGCCTTTCTCCAAGCAGGTCCCCCTCACCCCGCTACAGGCTTCTTGTCACTCAGGCTTCAATAAAGGTCGTTCTGGGGGCTGCTTGCTGTAACCTAGAAGACAGAATTACCTAGGATCATTAGTAGGGTCATTTTTTTTTTTCCTACTCTGCAGGCCAATTAATTTGAAACAAGCTTCCATGGCCTTTTAACCGTTAGCATCACCACCGTAGTAACAGGCCCATAAACCCAGTCTGCCCCGCTCTAGTCCCATGATTTTAATAACTGCTGGCTCTTTTTTAGTGGGTTGGGTGGGGGGATTCCTACCTCAGTGATCCCTGCTGAGCCTGGCTGTTGTCTGTGGTCCAGAGGTTCCTTTACCTGACTTACTCCTCTCAGATCACGTCCAAATGCCAGGGCAGGAGACCGACCTGGGTCCTCACCAGTAAGTAGAGACCTAGCTCTGAGCGACATTAAGGAAAAGATACAGAGACTGTTTTCTCTTTGGGTCTTCACATTCACTGAGTACAGTTAAGAAGTGTTCTTAACTGAGCTTTTGGGGAAAAATTTTCTTTACCCTTGACTACTTTTTCCTGCTATGGTTCACTTTTCCGTCATTTTAAATTAGTTTGTTTTAATTATGAATAGACTGCATACACACAGCAAATAGTCAAACAGAAATCGGATAGAGAATGAAAAGTAAAGGTCTCTCTTTCCTTGCCACCCTCCCCCAAAAGTTCCCACGGTTCCTAGGTTGCCCTTCCAGTGCTTTCTATACACATACAAGACTATTTGTACATTCCCTTATAAAAAAATGGAATAGTAGTATGCAAATTGTTCTGCCACATACTCTTCTAATTTAATGTATCAACATTATCATATCACTTATATATGATCTTTCTTGTAGTTGCGTTACATCTCATAGTATGATTATACAGTAATATATTGAACTGATATAACCATGGATGATTATTTCCAGTTTTTTTTGTGTGGTTGCCAACAATGCTTCAGTGAATATTCCTGTACATAGATCAGTATGTACTTGTGCAGGTACATCTGTGTGTGCTATTGTGAAATATATATTTGATTGTAGTCCCTGTTTCCTGACCTAAAGCTCTTAAATTCCTTGGAATTTCCAGAGTGATGAAAATACCTTTTGTATGCTAATAAGATGGTTGGTGACTTGGAGCCCCTAAATAGCTTCAGGATGGGGGCTGCTCACCAGAAAGATCAAGGCAGGATTAGAAGGTTGGGACTTTTAGTCCCACCACCTCCCCCCAAACCTCCACAGAGAGGAGAGGAACTGAAGGTTAAGTTGAACACCAATGACCAGTGATGTAATCAATCAGACATATGCCATGAAGCCTGTATAAAAGCCCAGAGGACAGGGTTTGTTGAGTTCTGGAGAGCAGAACATCAGGTTCCTAGAGGGTGGCGTGCCCAGAGAGGATATGGAAGCACCACAGCCCTTCCCACATTTCTTGCCCTGTGCATCTCTTCCATCTCACTGTTCATCTACATGCTTTGTAATATCCTTGGCCATAAATGGGCAAACAGAAGTAAAGTGTTTCACTGAGTCTGTGATCCACTCTAGCAAATTAATCCAAACAAGGAGTGGGTCGGGGGAATTCCAGTTTATAGCTGGGCAGTCAGAGGTACAGGAGACAACCTACTACCTGGGATGGGCATCTGAAACGGGGGGCGGTCTCATAGGATCAAACCCTGAGCCCCTGCTATTTCCAGGTACATAGTGCCAGAACTGAATTGAATTACAGGACACCCAACTGGCATCCGTTGCAGAATTGCTTGGTGTATGGGGAAACATCCCCCACACATCTGGTGTTAAAAGTGTGCTGGCTGTGTGAGAGTGGGAGACAACACTTTGGTTTCTCCTATATCGCGATACTGGAATTAGATTCCTGGATGTGAAATTGCTGCAACTTTTTATGTCCTTGGTTGGATAAAGAAGCCTTGTGCTGTGACCTCCACTTTACCTACTCACACCCCTGCTTTTGTCCTCTGCAGTCAGGCCAGCTCCTCTGCAGGACTCAGTCCTGTTTATTGCCTTGAGGGTCACCATCATGGACCAAGCAGTTTCCCAGCGTGGATCCTGGCCCTTCCTATACTCAGCCTCCAAACCCTTCTGTGGGGAGCTGGGGCTAAAGTCTATAAGCTGTGTTCCTGAGTCACTACTAGACTAGGAAGGAGCAAAGCATGGAGTCGTCTTGCTCTTTCGAGGACTCAGGAGGAGAAAATGGCAACTTGGTTAAGGAGAAGTTCCTCTGAGTTCATCTATGGTGGCAGCACGGAGTTTTGTGACATGCCACTAGCATGCAGTGCTCAACCACAACTTTTCAAATTGTTATGGGCAAAGTACCAGGAAACTGCTAACTGGTTAAAATTTAATTTTGGCTGGTAAAATTTTCAGCCTTTATTTTTTTATTTTTGTTTTAGACAGAGTCTCACTTTGTCGCCCAGGCTGGAGTGCAGTGGTATAATCTTGGCTCACTGTAACCTCTGCCTCCCGGGTTCAAGCAATCCTCCTGCCTCAGCCTGCTGAGTAACTGGGACTACAGGCGTGCACCACCATGCCCAGCTAATTTTTATATTTTTAGCAGAGACGGGGGTTCACCATATTGGCCAGGGTGGTCTCAAACTCCTGTCCTCAAGTGATCTGCCCACCTAAGCCTCCCAAAATGCAGGGATTACAAGTGTGAGCCACCATGCCCAGCCAATTTTCAGCCTCTAGAGCAAGAATTCCTAACAAGCCTATGCCCATTAATCATGAATGTGCCCCACTCAGGTCACTGGATGTGTGGCTGTACAGACTGAGTTTTACCCATCTTTATAAATGATGCTACACTATTAAACTGTGATGCACTGGACATCTCTCATTTTTCTGTGGCTGACCAGCATGCAAACATTCTTTATGTTTAGGGCACTCCATCACTGTGAGAGTCTTAGGACCTTCTTTCCCACCATGAAGCATAAGGGGGCCAGATACTTGGTCTCCCAACCCCTCACAGCTAGGGTGGCTTGTGATCTGGCCAGTGAGATTCTCCTTTTGGGAACTGTGAATCTTGATCAAATGGTGCAAAGACAGAGACACGTTAAACTTCATCTTCGTGGTCGGGTTTCTAGAGACTGGTAGTACCTAGCAGTCACGGTGGAACCAGTGATGGTATCCTTCTTATTCCATGGTACCTGAAATCCTTACAATAAATTCTTCCACTTCAATCAGCCAGAGTGAGTTTGTCTTATTTACAGCCAAGAACTCTGACTCATGTACATGAAAACAAACAAAAAACCAGAATGTCTTCCTTTGTCATTTCCCCTTCCAGATCTGGAGTGACTGTCACGTCACTTGAAGCTTTCACACATTGTTAGCTAGTGGCCTCTCTTCACCTTATCTCACTAAGGGGAACTGAGTATAGAGGCCTTGGTGACAGGTGCTGTGGGTGGCTGGTCTCAATTATGGATGGGAGTGGTTGACAGGCACACCCTGTGTAAATAAAACCAGCAGATCACCGACGCTTCAAATGAATGCTTTCTTCTTTTTCCAAACCATTTTCAGTACTACTAGAGAAGAGGAAAATTTGGCAAATCTCAAATCATCTCCTTTTGTACATGTTATTTACATTCTGGTGGAAAGGTTCATGAAGATGTCTCAATAGTGGGCAGAGAAAAACAAGAAAGCTGACAGCAAATGTTATCTGCCACATGCATTGGAGTCAACTCAGTGCACTAGATTATGATTTTATGGAATCGTTATGTTGTAACTGGAAGGAAACCCAGAGAGTCATTTATTCATTTGTTTAGTGTTTATTGAGTGTCTGCTATATACCAGACACTATTTTAGACGCTGAGAATTCAATGGTCGCTAGAAGAGTTTCTGCTTTAGAGAGCTCTAAGTTTTGTGGACAGGACAAGTAAATGTTGTGAGATTGTCCAAATTTCACAAATGAGTAAAAGCCTCAGAATTGCAAAGGGAATTGTAGCAGACCTAAAAGCAGAATTGTGGCCTCCTGACTTCTCATTTTTCCCAAAAGAAGCTTTACTAGCTAAACTTGAATGGGAGCCAGGGTAACAGGGCACCCTCATGGCTGAGCTTTGGAGCAGCTTATACAAGCACAGGAAATAAATCTCTCTCTCTCTCTCTCTCAGCTTACACATGCACAGAAAATAAATCTCCTCTCTCTGTCTCTCTCTCTCTCTCTCTCTCTCTCTCTTTCTCCCTCACCCCATACCCCCTGCACCCGCACCCCCCACCCCCAAACACACACACTGCAGAACAAAGATAAACTATGTTTCAGATCTCAAAGGCTTGAATTTTGGTCCACAAGTGGTGGCACAAGACAGACTTTATGCATTATGATAGCTATGTAATTCCTTGACCCTGGAGGTGATCAGATTAAGTTTTAAAATGCAAGATGTGATCACCCATCTTAAGTCTGTAATTGCCTGGCCACATCTGTTATTAATAGCAGTAAAACCATTATATCCCGAAGGGAAAAAAACACACCCTGCTACAGTACTTTCCCTAATGACCTCCCGTGGTGATTCACTCACAACTGAAGAGAAGAGAGATGCTTCCACATGTTTGAGCCCAAGCTGTGGCCATGTGCCTGCTAACATTTCATGTTATTTCAGGATAAAGCCACTTTGTTTCTGTTCAATCAGGTGCATGTTTTTAATGACTGGAAGAGTTTCTTGGTAGGGCAGGAATAACACCAGTAATCATATCTAGCATTTCCTAAACACCTACTGAGGGCCAGACACTTCTCCTGTACTTTCTCACTTCTTACCACAGCCCTATAAATGTACATGCATCCTGGAAACAGGCACATCTTCCTGACTCTTCCACTTGTTAGTCTGATGATAAAAGTTTTCTTCCTGTCCAGGTGTGGTGGCTCACTTGTAACTCCAGTGATTTGGGAGGCTGAAGCAGGAGGATCTTTGAGGCCAGAGTTCGAGAACAGCCTGTACAACATAATGAGACCCTGTCTGTACACAAAATTTAAAAAAATTAGCCAGGCATGGTGATATATGCCTCTAGTCCCAGCTACTTGGGAAGAGGGAGGTGGGAGGGAGGCTGAGGTGGGAGGATTACTTGAATCTAGGAGTTTCAAGCGACAGCGAGCTATGATTGCACCATGGCACTCCAGCCTGGGTAATACAGCAAGACTTTGTCTCCAAAAATAAAAATAAAAAATCTCTTTTCTCATCTATAAAATGGGGATGATAGCAAAACTAATCAGGGTCGTTTTGAGACTGGATAAAATAATCCACATTAAAAGCACTAAGCACACAGCCTGGACCCATGCTAGTTACTTAATAAATATCAGCGACCACTATTAGGCTCGTTTCCATTTTACCAATGAGAAAACAGATTGACAGAAGTTACAGAGCTTGCCCAAGGAAGGTCCAAACAAATGAGCCATAGTCCTGCCCTCAAGTTGTTTGGAGTCTATTTGAGGCACTCAAACATACTGGGTGCTGTAGGCACAGATGAGCACCAGGAGCCACTGAAGTGGGAGACAGGACATGGGGACAAAGCTTTTCAGGTCATTTTTATCTTGTTAATTATTCTAAAATTCTGGGGGGGTAGGGAGGAAATTCAAGCATTACCATACCAAAGGGATATAGAGAAAAGTAGATTCCCGTTATCCCTGACACTAAATTCAAAGCAACCTCTGTTACTACTTCTGCAAGCGTCTATGTATATTCAAGCACACATGCATAATATATTTGTGATACATGTGCATATATTATGTGTTTATTTGTGTATCATATATTTTTAAAAACTTTTTATTTTTTTAAAAGCTCATTTGTGTATTTTTTAAAAAATTATTTTAATCCCTTTAAAAATCTCAATGGTATCATTACAACCTGCACCATATTTTTGCCTTTTTTTTTTTTCAGTTAATAATACTTCATAAAGATTGATCCAGGGCAGGCACGATGGCTCATGCTGAGAGGCCAAGGCAGACAGATCACGAGGTCAAGAGTTCGAGACCAGCCTGTCCAACGTGGTGAAACCCCATCTCTACTAAAAATGCAAAAATTAGCTGGGCATGGTGGAGAGCACCTGTAGTCCCAGCTACCCGGGAGGCTGAGGCAGGAGAATTGCTTGAACCTGGGAGGTGGAGGTTGCAGTGAGCTGAGATCGCGCCACTGCACTCCAGCCTGGGTGACAGAGCAAGACTCTGTCTCAGAAAAAACAAAAAAGATTGATCCATATCATTACATTTAGATCTATTTCATTCTTTAAAAATGACCGCATGGTGTTGCATTGTGTGGTGATACTGTAATTGATTCAACCAATTCCCTATGGATGAGTATTTAGGTTGTTGTAGTTTTTCACTGCTATAAACCGACAGATAGCCTTGTATATGTGTTTTTGCAAACACACATGTGTATGTCTATTGGAGGACTTCTTAGAAGTGTAATTCACTGGGTCAAAAGTTATGTGCATAGAAGTGACGGACATTGCCAAATTGTCCTCACTTTCTCCAATTGAGAGGTTTATCACTTTATATTCCCTCCATAATGTTTATGAGTATGTTCAGGCTAGTTTTTTATATATATATATATATATATATATATATATATATATATATATATATGTAGTTATGTGACATTGGACAAGCAATTCTGAGTAAGTAGCATTACTTCTTTCTATTTATGGACTTTACTAGTTTGATTGAGTGCTACGTTTATGAGGCCAAGGTCATGAATTTGTGTACTAAGTAGTCAATTCGTTTGCCGTATCCTTATCAAGGTCACTTCTTTCCACAGTCTGTAAGTCACAATAGGAATCAGAAGAGAAAATGGACAGATAGGCATTGCACTGGTAGCTTCTTCCTACACCATGTGTATTCATCATGGTATCCCCAGAGGCTAGCATTATGACGTAAAGACTGAAAGGATTAGGGGGATTCAGGTATTGATTACACTAAACATCTATTCAGTGGTTTATATAATTTGCGTTTCATTCATTTAGAGAACATGTCAACTTGTGTTAGATACACAAGGCAGGTTCATACTCCCAGCTGTGACACAGCCATCTAAAATAGGTAATTTAAGCCCTCATTTAATTGGCTATGTTATTTTCCTTTGGTCTAAATGAAAAGTTAGATTACCATTTTAAATACACGAACATACATGTTTAATATACTCCATTAACTTATTCCTCATCATAGTTTTTTTTTAAATCTCTGTCACATCAAATTTAAAGAAAAGTCCACTCCTTTGCAATAACTTCATCACCAGGTTACTCAGAAGAAGCTATGCAGATGCTCGGAGTGCCACCAGCCTTTCTGAACATCAGCACATTAAACCTAGGATCCCTGCTTCTAAAAATTCTGGAAACCTGTCACATCCAATATGCTTTAAGACGGTTTTGTAAAGAGCTTATTGTCAGTGATGTATGTGGATTAGTAAACCATCTGCAGGAAGCCCAGATGTTTTCAG